ATATATATATATTTTAATATATTAAAATAGAAAACATTTACTTTAAATAATAATAATAATATTTCAAAATTAATATATTATTATTATTATTAATAATAATATATTTTTACTGTATTTTTGATCAAATAAATATATTATTGGTGAAACCAATACAAATTTTAATAAAAACATATTTTAAATATAATGTATGTGGTCATGTTTGTCACTCTTGCCACAATTTGGAGTGCTTTTTTTTTTTTACCAGGAATCAACCAGCTTCAGCAACTTCAGCTTAAGATGGTTTTATCAAGCCATATAAAATCACAGCTACTGTCGTCAAAGCCATTAGCACATCACTGATTACTTGCAGATGGAATGAATAGCTTTCGGCTGATAAAGCAAATTCTGTTAGTGCCTTAATTACGACATCACCGCAGTGAATTATGCCGATTACATCTGTAAAAACAATGATTACAGTAAATTGATTTTGATTATGAGCAGTTAATGTGAAAATGTGCAACATGAGGGAATTTCCAAAGTCTAAAAACAAGTTGAGCGACAGCATTCTACTGTACACTCTTAAAAATAAAGGTGCTTCAAAAGGTTCTTCAAGCGATGCCATAGAACAACCATTTTTGGTTCCACAAAGAATCATTCAGTCAAAGGTTCTTTAAAGAACCATCTCTTTCTTACCTTTTTATAATCTGAAGAACCTTCTTTTGCCACAAAGAACCTTTTGTCAAACAGAAAGGTTCTTCAGATGTTAAAGGTTCTTTATGGAACCATTTAGACAAAAAGGTTCTTCTATGGCATCGTGAAGCACCTTTATTTTTAAGAGTGTAGGTATGTTTGATATTGTACTGTCTATGAATTAGAGTAATTGCTTTATTTTCCTTGTGTTATAAACAAATGAGAATAGTTATAAACTATCCCTTTAAACCCTTTTTGTTTGCACTTGTTCCTGACATACCGCCTCTAACCAGTGAACAAAAACACACAATAGAGCTGAAGCTCCACCTGTGACAGAATCAGAAGTTATCAAATGTCTTTTTCTCTGGGTAAGATCTCAGTTTGTTCACCATTCAATCTGAGGATCAGAGGAGCCAGTCTCCTGCCCCAGTCATAATACACCCTGATGGGAACCCAGGTCTGTTGGACACGCTCCATCTGCATCTCACTCCAGATAAGGCTACACACACTACTGTTTTCATTAAGCATTTGTGTAAACTGTGAACACAGCTGGCAATGACGAAGAAGTCGTGTATCTTTCCCACAGCATTTCTACAAGAAATATCAATTAATTACAATCTAGCTTGATTAGGTCCTTATATAGTTTCCTCCATGGCGGCTCATAGCTACATTCAGGTTTTCTCAACAGTGCACTGTGGCGAGACAAACCACAATCACAAAGAAATCAAAAAATGTCTCAAACGCAAACCAGATGAATCAGCTGTGGAGACTGAGAGCATTAGATGTGCTTGACAATGTTGTCATAATTGTCTCTGGAAAATAAAATCACAGGGACATTCCCTTTTTGTGCAGGCACACAGTGACTAATTTGATTAGTGCAGCACTTTCTTGCTCCACAGAATAACATCACAGACAAATGCGGTCACCTTGAGCAGCCAAAACCTCAGTGGGGCTGTAAGTAATGCACCCAAGACACCAAAAATCGAACAAACACAGCACAAAAAACAAAAAAACAAAGACATGATTCTCTCGCAGTCATGAGGGGAGTTCAAACAGCAGGGAAAAAAAGGGAGAGCGCGATGGGCCAGATTTGGCAGTCTCTCCGTCGCCCGATAAGAAAGGCTTGTTGAGAGGTAAAGAAAAGAATCTCTGACACACATCTGCAGGGCCACACTGAACTCGGACTGATACAGTGTAGCACAAGAATGGCAGTGCATCTCTGTACAGATAAAGCCCATCCCACCGGCGATAAGCTGCTCCTCTCTCAGATTACAGAAGCGCCAAAGCACTGTAGTCTTTGGCCCCTCTGACGGAGTTAAAGAATCACACAATGCCAGAAGCATCTGATGGGCAGGATTAAAGTCATATCTAAAAGGCGCCAGGGCAAAATCACACAGACTCCACTTCGTCTCTGCATCTGTGCCTGCACATGATGTACATACGCAAACATGTCCGTATATTCCACCTGATCTAATGTCATTTAATAATGAGTTGTTGCTAACAGATGCTGTAAAGTCCTCAGGATTGAGCTGGAGCCATGTTGCAGGATTGTAGTCATTCATCCACCCAAACCCATGTAATCTTGCTTCTTTTGAAGCTATAGTAAATCAGTGGCATGCTAAAATCGTTTCTGAAGCCCTTGAGAGTGTTTTTGGTCATTATTACCTGTCAGGTCTCTGTTCAGCTTCCCCAGGTCCTTTGAGAGGTCATCAAACTTCACTTGAGAGGAAAGGAAAACATCTTGAGGTTCGGGCAAAGGAAAGATGCTCTTTTCAGTCCCAGCATTCTGAAAAGAGATTTAAGGGTCAGTGACATAATAAAGAGAAGACTTAAAAATCTAGATTAAAACACATGTATCAAGTTTTTAGAAATGTACAGCATTTAAAAGTTTGGGGTTGGTAAGATAATTGTAATGTTTTAAAATAAGTCTCTTATGCTCACCAAGGCTGGATTTATTTGATCAAAAATACTGTAGAAACAGTAATATTGTGAAATATTATTTTAACTTCAAATAATTGTTTTTATTTTCATATATTTTAAAATGTAATTTGTTCCTGTGATGGTAAAGCTGAATTTTCAGAAGCCATTACTCCAGTCTTCAGTGTCACACGATCCTTCAGAAATCATTTTAATATGCTGATTTGATTGAGATCAAGAAGCATTTATTATTATTATCAATGTTGAAAAGTTGTGATGCTTAATATTATTGTGGAATATTGTGGAATGATACTTATTTTTTTCCAGGATTCTTTGAAAAATAGAAAGTTCAAAAGAACAGCATTTATTTGAAATAGAAATCTTTTGTAACATTATAAATTGATCAATTTAATGTGACATTGATTGTATAAAAAGTAAAAAATCACATTAATCCCAAACTTTTGAACAGTACTTTACTCTTTTTATTCATGTAAGTTTCAAAAACTTTTAATAACATTTTTAAGAACAAATTTAATGAAACTGAAAGATTTTTTCATGTATCACTGAATAAATTAACAGAAAACAAATAATAAATTAATTCATAGAAAAATGAGTCATGTCAATTACCCTGAAAATAATGTGCCCAGCACATTATGTGCAAAATAAAACATTGCATGTGAAGAATTACATGTTCATGCTTTACCTTATCAAGGTGATGCAGATAGTAGGAAACAATGTAGTCCAACAAACTCATGTGGTTTTCCTGTAGATTTATAGAGAATTATGACAAAAACGTGCATCATCCTGTACAAACCAATAGCAAACAGAAAAAACTAATTGAGGCTCTATCAAACCTCAGTGTGTTTGTGTGCAGCTAGGGCCTTCACAGTGTCAAACATGGGCTCATGAAATGGAGAAAAATGTTACCCTGCTCTTGACGTCTTTAAGTTTGGGAAGTATCTCAAGCCCGAAGCCGTCGGCCTGTCCTCGAGCTCTGCTGCCTCCATTCATGTAGTTTCCCAGAGCAAGCACCAGTCCCATCACCTCCCTCATACTGTCTTTCTCCAACAGATACTAAAACACATCAACATGTATTTGTGGATTTATCGCTTGCCATAATGGAGATGTTGGAGACAAAGCATGCACTTAGACCTCACTTGAATAAACGGCAGCTGCCTGAAGGGCTGCTTTTTGACTGAATGCCAGCATTGGTACTTTATCAAATGTTTGATAATATCTGAGGTCTGACTCCTTTGAAAAGTGCGTTTGTACCTTGCAGACGTGGAGAATAATCTCAGTCTTGCGCTGTATGGAGGCAACAGCGTCAGTGAACTTCGACTGAAAAATTAAACAGTGAACTCGACTGGAGAACTCAGGGATCTGGGAGAGTTCATACAGGAACCTGTCAAGGAAAAGCAATGAACATCTGTCAACCTAAAGTGCGTAGTGTTGAAAACACTACTCTGTCTTCGTCTGCCCTCAAATGAAGGAACCTTAGAGAAGTATACATTGCAAAAAGTGCCCTTGTAAGTGGCAACCAATGTATCACTAGTCGCAAGTTGCATGAAAAAGTGAGTTATCTGGTGTGTTTCTGGAATATCTCACTGTTCAGGCTTGTCCAGTAGTTTGACCTGCTCCTCATCTGAGGTTTCATAGTGTTTCTTAATCTTCTCTAACTCCTCAGGCTGAGCTCTCTGGGAGAAACAGAACAGACGCATTCATATGACAACTGACCAATGATACCCACATAAACTTATGAAACCACACAGGAACTATCAATTATTTAGTTACGTTGGAACTGGAACTACAGCGAAAAGCAGGGTGATACAGAATCTGCAGACTTTATGTACATTTTCTGGAGTGATTTTGTTGAGAAAAGTGAGTGGAATGGATTTAAATACAGTAAAATGGTTAAATACAGTAAATATGTCATCAAACATATTTCAAAGAATATGTTTGGTTAATTACAAGCTCCATTTAGTTGCTTTCTAACCTTTTCAGTGCAAGATTCTATACAATTTTACAACTTTGTCACCATGACAACATGCACCATAAACCCTAAAAAGACTGTAAAAATGGATACACAAGAATAATTAGTTTATAATAATTGTGCTTTATATAAAATTATAATCTCCACGTTTCTGCTTTTAAATCCTTCAAACAATGGCCTCATTCACTTGTAAGAACCTCATCATATCCTCCATTTATGCTATTTTTAAAAGAAAGATAGAGAAAGGGGTGCAGGATAAGCAGAACTTTGCGAAAGATGGATGTTCAAATTCTGTACAAAAGTACTGTTTTGGAGGCTGGGATTCAGCATGGGCCTGTACATAAGTACATTTCCAGTGTGGCAGGGTACTTACATTTTCATACAGGGCTTCAATAGCATCCAAGTCAACCACAGAATTGTCCAGAGTCAAAACAGCTGTGTAAGGAACAAGTATTAGCCTCTAGAAAAGAAGACTGATTAGTTCTTAGACATGTGCATGTCATGGATGTGATATGCAAATTTAAAAGTCGCTAAATATGTATTTGAGAGCTTTTTTCCCTGTAGGAATTCACTGCTCAATTTACTAAAGTCATCAAAAACATCTGCCTGTCTTGACTCCGTTAAGCCAAGCTGGGATGATTTCAAGATTGTCAATGTGAAAAGTATACGTTTAGTAAGTAGGACTAATGTACACACCATAATGTGGAGAACCCAAAGAATATTTCTAGTGGTAAACCACAAGAAAAGTTTATTTAATGAACATACAGCCAATTTATCCTTAATAAGAGCTGGAGCCAATCACGAGATATGTCTCTATATACAGAATTATTTCAACATCATGTCTTAGCTTGCCTTTCGCCATCCAGGCCACACAAATATGTATCATTTTAACATGTCTGTTTATTATTAGTGGAGAAAAAATGAGTCTGGATAGAATAAAATGACACTCTGCTGAACTGGTGGTCGAGTATTTCTCAGCATATATGAGGCTGTTCAGTGTGATTTACCTTGCTGGATGTCCTTCATCTCCAGATGGAGACTTGAGATTAGGATGCCCACGGCCTGAGAGCGCTTGCCATCCAGTAATTTAATGACCTAAAAAAGTTTTTAAAAAATCCACATTCACAAGACAAACCCTAAGAATAGCATTTCACTTCACATTTCACTTTAGATCAGAAGTTAAGTGCATTCTGCTTACTCTACCATTCGAACACTAGGTCGCAAAGACTCATGCTTGTATTATGCAAAAGTGGAATGAATGAATAACAAAAGAACCTTTGGGAAATTCCAAACTTCCATTATAAAAACCGCCGGCCAAAGGTAACAATGGCATGATCACATTTCATAAACAGGTTCATTTATTTCAAATGATTCCCATTTCCTATATAATTATGTCAATTTCAAAGGCATTTCTGGGATCCTGAAATTACACATAAGCATTTATATAAAAATTTGCAGATTCCATCAAGTGACAGCACCTGATAAATTACGTTTTTGTTTATAGAAACAATGAATTGTAATTATCAGAGGTAACTGAATGAATTAATCAGTTGTGCTAGTGTTCAAGTAATATATAATTCGGAAGTGTTGGAAACTTCTCCACCTAGTGGACACTTCTCAAATCTGTAATTTCTAAACCTATTGAGCAATACATTACATTTGTGCATTTTTGCAGACACTTTTATCCAAAGCGACTTAAAGTGCATGTGAATTTCTTTTTAATGCGTTAAATCAAACCACAACCTCACATTTGCGATATAAATATCTATGTAATAATCCTTTTTTTCATCTTCAGGCAAGAGCGGTACCTTCCTGGCTTTGGTTTTCTTCTCATAGGCTTCGGATAGGGGCTTTCTTTTGGTGGGCGATGTGGCTTTAGCAAACAGTTCCGCAAACTCATTGGTGTTTATTATCTCTGGCTCTTCCAGGGAACTCCATAGCATATTGTTCCTTAGAAAAGACAAACAGATGACAAGAGATTTTATGTTTTTCAAGTATTTGGCATTTGCAACAGTTTCTGCTCAGTTTAAAGCTTATCGTGACTGAATCTTCATACTTCAAAATCACAGAACAGGCCATGACCAAAGCATCTCCAAAAACTGACATCTGTAAAAACCAAAGTTACATGAGTTATTTACTGTTGCTGGGTAACCATGCCTAAAAGCAGAAAAAGGAAGATCAACAGGGGCTCAAAGTGAGTAATCTGATTTGCTAAATTTTCTCTCCCATAAAAATAATTAAGGAGCCAGGATGAGGCGCACAGCTAAGCTTGACTGGGTTCGCCTTTGGCCTGACAAACTGCTCACGGAGAGAGCAGAAAGCTTTCATGAGGAGTCAAACAACATTGCAACAGCACAGAGGTGGCCGGGGAGCCGAATGCTACAGAAATTCACACTGCCACTAGAGGTCCTGGAAAGACTGCCGCTCGGCCTGTGGCTGACCCCTCATGCAGACAAATGTCTGCAGCGGTCTGTCTTAAACTTCCCATGAGGTCTGACGAGGGAGAGTTGAAAATGTCAGCGTCACTTGTGGACATTGTGTGTTTGAGGAATGTTAAGAACAATGGAAATGTTTATATGGAATACAGGTAGAGTGGGATGATGTTTTTTTTAAGGTTTTATATTTAGTTTAGAGCAGTTATTTGCTATTTAAAAGTGCATTGTGTCAAGAGTTGTTATTGTTAACTAAAACTTTTAAAATTAAGTTTTGCTAATTGAAATAAAGCTGAAATAAAATAAAATATATATATTAGATAAAAAACTTAAACTTACGAAACTTTAAAAAAATGAAAATGTCTTCTTGGCAACTAACTGAAATAAAATAAGTTTACATTGAAGTAAAAAATTACTAAAACTAAAACTGAAATAAAAGAAAATTGAAGCTATATAGAGATATTTTTAAAAACGTATAAATGACAAAAGCAAATACCAACATTTCTAAAAATTCTAATACAAAATATATAAAAAAAACACTATAATACTGTATTAATAACACTAAATGAATACAGATTGTGTCAGTGGCTGAAAGTGATGAAAGACCAGAAGTGTCTCATTTGATAATATTATAATAATACAATTTACATATTTGTGTTTGGGTCAATGACATATAAGTGTGACAATGATAAAGAAAAGGAAAATGCTTTTAAAAATCTACTTTAAATATGTATCTGATATTTTCAGAGATTTATTTATTTTGACAGACAGTCACGGGGGCCTTCTTGAACATACAATTTTTTTATGCTTCTGCATGTTGATCGCACCATGCCTCTGCAGTGAAGTAGATTTGTTAAAATATTATTGACTTTTCTGAATAAGACATAAAATTAACTAATAAAAGTTTCAAGAATTTCATCCTTTTGATAAGGTTTTTATAAAGGTTTGATAAGCTCTTGATAAATAAACTAAAATATATTAAACAATAAAAAAAGCACAATTAAAGAAAACAAACTGCTATGATATTGACAGGGGTCTATTAAAATATGAGTCAAGGTGATAAGAAATACCTGTGATCTTGAATCTGTATTCGTGTCCAGTACAGTGGTTTCATTGGACAGACTGGCTCCATTGACGGCTTGCGAGGAGGATTGTCTGCTGCTTTACTGGGGAAGATACCAACTCCAGGAGGAGGGGTACTTTTCTGAATAAGACATAAAATTAACTAATAAAAGTTTCAAGAATTTCATCCTTTTGATAAGGTTTTATAAAGGTTTGATAAGCTCTTGATAAATAAACTAAAATATATTAAACAATAAAAAAAGCACAATTAAAGAAAACAAACTGCTATGATATTGACAGGGGTCTATTAAAATATGAGTCAAGGTGATAAGAAATACCTGTGATCTTGAATCTGTATTCGTGTCCAGTACAGTGGTTTCATTGGACAGACTGGCTCCATTGACGGCTTGCGAGGAGGATTGTCTGCTGCTTTACTGGGGAAGATACCAACTCCAGGAGGAGGGGGAGGGGAGACAGAGTGGAGGACGGGTGGTGGCAGACCACATCCTGTCATTGGTGGAGGTGGTGGAGGAGGCACACTTCCTGGCCTATCTAGTGGCTGAGCAGGAAGTGGAGGTACATTAGGATTACAAGGGCCTGTTGGAAGAGGAGGAGGAGGAGGAGGAGGAGGAGGGGGTGGAGTATTGTTGCTATCCATCTGTAACTGAAGCGATACAGGTGGAGGAGCTGGAGGAGGAACTGTCTTTTGTTTGCCAGTAAAGATTTTTGTTGCGTTGAGGTCAGCATTTTTAGGCAGGGGGTCAAAACTCCTGCTCTGGGCTTCCTTGGCATCTTCCTTAGTCTCTCTTTCTGTCTGAATACACACAGAGCGGAAGGCCCGTGGTTTGATGTTGTCGACAGTGGACACAGCAACATCTCTGTGATCTCTGCCTCTCTCTTCGTCTCTCTCTCTTTGTAAGCTGGCAATGGTTGATCCTAATCTGGACAGATCCTCTTCGTTCTTCTTTTGTAACCGGAAGAAATCAAGTTTGAAGTCGGCCTGCGTTAAAAAGTCCAAGCCACAACATATAGTATATAAACATTTTTCCCCCCCAGAGAATTCATGAACTGATAGAAAATGTATAATATAAGTGTCTGCTAAATATAATGTAAATGTATGCATACACAGTTATATGCTAGCAGAGGGCGCAATATATTTGCAATTTATGTTAAACCTAAAAACAATATTTTTGTGAAATGTAACAAATTGTAGAAACACGCTTTTCCTGGCAGAGATTTCAAATTCTTGATGCTATTAGTAAAATGTTCCCATACACTTTTGTTTTCGCTCACCTGTAACTTCTCCACCTCTTCATTACATTCTCTTTTTAGCTGCAGAAGAGCTGCCTGATGCTCTGAGAACATAAAACAAAGACATTGTGACTAAATGTATCACAAAAACCATTAAATAGTGCCATAAACCCTATAAAACAGATCTCTATGCCATAATATATATAAAGATATGGAATAATATGTACGTATACACTATACCGTTCAAAAGTTTTTTAATTTGAAAGACATCTCTTATGTTCACCAAGGCTACATTTGATCAAAAACAGTAATGCCGTGAAATACTACTACACTATATATGTTTTTTATATTTTAATATATTTTAAAATGTAATTTATTTCTGAGATGGCAAAGCTGAATTTTCAGCAGTCTTCAGTGTCACACGATCCTTCAGAAATCATTCTATGCTGATTTTGGTGCTCAAGAAGCATTTCTTCTTATTATAAATATTGCAAACAGTTGTGCTGCTTAATATTTTTATGGAAACAGTGATAGATTTTTAAATGTACAGACTTACAGTTGAGGAATACAACAAGTGATGCATCATTTTTCACTATTCTTTGATGAATAGAAAGTTCAAAATAACAGCATTTATTTGAAGTATACAGTGGGGCAAAAAAGTATTTAGTCAGCCACCAATTGTGCAAGTTCTCCCACTTAAAAAGATGAGAGAGGCCTGTAATTTTCATCATAGGTATACCTCAACTATGAGAGACAAAATGAGAAAAAAAAAATCCAGAAAATGACATTGTAGGATTTTTAAAGAATTAATTGGTAAAGTCCTCGGTAAATGTAATATTATTGTATTATTCGCCAATTTTGATCAATTTAATGCATCCTTGCCGAAAAACGATCTTACTCTATTGTATATGGGACGAAGAATTGGATATCCATCAAATATTGCAGATGTAAAATTTCCAATAGATGGCAGTGGTGGGATTGTTATATAGGGATGATCACTGCCTTGTCTAGAGAACCATGGGAAAAACTGTCAAGATAACTTATTTCCTCAAGTATAATCATACCAAGACATATGACAACACCACTCTGACTGTGTGTGCTTAGGTGTGGCTGTGGACTCCACACCCTTTAAATATATAAGACACTGTAGTGCAGGCAATGGAACTGTCAGTAAGGGGTGATTATAAAACTATATAGTATTGAATGCACACATTTATGTAATTTTCAATGGCGCAAGATTAGTAAATGCTTTGCAGAGAAAACATAGTCTTACAAGTAACAAATAATGTGACATGGAGTTATTTCATCTGTAGAACTGCCTTTTAGGAACACATTTTGGGTGGAGGTGTATCAGAATTTGTTTGGACAGTATTGCAAATATGGAATCAGAGCAAACATTTACACTTACTGCTGTTGTTTCTGATTATTCAATAAGAACTTACCAGCTTCAGTGTATTTTAGACCAATCTTTTCCTCTTCGTATTTGGGTTTTGGTGGAGGCCAAACAGTCTGAAGTCGCTTTGGGGTGTGCTCCTCACTCACCTCAGCCTATGACAAAAAACAGCCACAGTTAATGTGCATTGTACCGTTGAAGTTAAAGGACCTATTAAAATAAAATAACTAAAATAAAAATAAAATGATTACATTTTGTAGGTGCACATAAAATAAGACTTTTGACATGTATTAATACTGAGATGCTACCGATAAATGCAATCATCTGTTCACTTCATACTTTGGAATCAGTAGTTTCTTTGTTGTCTGGAGACTTGCTTGAGCTCCTCCTATCAAAGAAGGCTTTGAGGACGTCTTTGTCCCTGTTGATCTTCCTCTTTACAGTGTCCAGGTCCATGCGATTTGAAGTGTCTTTCTTGGCAGATTTAACTGTGAAGAAAGACTTCAATGCACCTAGGGCCATCTCCGCATTTGTAGATTTGTTTGTTTCCTCAGACTGGGTATTGGCTGGCTCCTCTATAGTTGTCTCTGGCTTTTCTGCAGGATCCTGACTGATTGGAGACAGTGGGGGGCTTGTCATGCTCTCTTGCTTTCTCTTTCCTTCCCCCTTGCTGAGGAATTGGGTAAGCTGTTCTAGGAAGTCTCCCTTGACTTCTTTCTTGTTAGACTGATCGGTAAAAAGTCCTCTTTTGGCAGGGCTTTGGGGTTGCTCTGGAGTGTCTTTTTCCTCAAGGGCTTCTTTCTTGGGGCTGAGCTGTCCGGTGAAGAGGGACGACAGTTGGAGCGGGTTTTCTTTTACAGATTTAGGGGTCTGGCCTGTTGTGGTCTTCTCAGTGGAAGATGAATCTGTATCTAACATGGTCTCTTCTTGTATTATTTCTTCTTCGTTCTCTTTATTAATTTCTCCTTCTGTACGCACTTTTACCACCTGTTCCTCCAGCTGGATGTCTGAAGATAACAGTTCAGGTTCCAAATTATTATTTTTATTTATTTCAGATGAACTGTGTTCTTCAGTGTCACAGAGGTCAGAACCTTCTGAAATCTCTCCTCCAGTCTCAGAATGTTTCATTTGGTTCTTCTGGCTTGTGGTAGGTGGATGGACATCCACAAAACTGATGTCTGATTCTGTGCTGCTTCCATTGCATGTAGCTTGACCAACTGCAGTCTCATCTCTCGTTTGGATCTTTTTAGTATCAACAGATGATTCTGCAGAAAGATCTTCAACTTCACAATATGTTAAAGTGGTCTGAAAGTCCATGTTTGTGGATGCCTGGTTGTGGTTAGTCAGAGTGTGCTCATTTACACCAGCTTTGGTTACCTTTGGAACATCTGCAGAGTTTTGAAGATTTCCATCAGGCTCTATTTTGCTCTCAGCAGCAGATACTTCCTGCTGAATTTGCACTGAAAAGTAATTATTGTTATTTGTGGGTGAATTCAAAGACTCTGTTATTAAAAAATCAGCCAGATTATTTCTGTCAGATGGAATATTTGTACTTTGAATGTCTGTGAGGACATCCTGACAGACTCTGTTTTTCAATGGTTCTTCCTCAGTGTTCTCTCTGACAATCTTCATTGTTTCTTTGCTGCTGCTGCTGGTTTCCTCAATGTGCTCTTCTTCTTTTTCATTCTGCAGCACAACACCAAACAGCTTCTCATTGCTGATACCGGATTCCATAACAATGGTCTCATTTCTAGATATGCCCTGCTTGAGTCTGTTTTTGCTCATATCCTTATCATTGCTTTTTGAAACAAACTGTTGCTCATTGTCTGAAGATTCTTCTCTGAAAACAGTAATATCCACTGTATAGAGTGCTGGGTTATCAAGTTGTTTGTCCAGTCTTTTAGCACTGTCACAGGCTGAGACCTCGCTAAGTGATTTAGACGGTGTGTCAGCTTGACCATCTGTTACATCCTGGTCAGTCTGGCGTGCTGCTGATGTTTTATTGTACTTATCTCTTTGGTGGTCAACATTCAAGTGCAAATCCACTTCCTCCTTTTCTGAAGAAAAATCAATTTCATTAACATTCTGATGCTCTGATCTGTTGACATGGTCCTTTGTTCTGTCTTCCTCAGCATTTGTTTGTGAAGTCTTAACAATTATATCAAAAGCATCCACTTGATCATCGAAACCATCCTGCCTTTGAACACTATTTTTTTTATCATTAACATCTCCTTTCTCAGTCAAATAATGAAAAGAAGTCACATCTTGACTTTCCTCAGTCAGTGTTTGGAGTTCATGCTTTTCATGGTGAGCAAAAAAGTTTGTTAATTTGTCCAAAAATGAATTGATAGGCTTACTCTCCATTTCCTTCCGGGACAGTCTACAGCCTCTTTAAGATTTCATTTAGTCTGTCTGTATTCAAAGCAACCATATTCTACAATTAAATAAAACAGCAATCAAAGTCAAAATTCAAAAATCCAGAGTTAAAACTGAAGTGTGCAAGTTTGCCTTTACAAAACGTCCAGGTTCTTTCCATTAGCCTTCCCAAGTCTAGCCAACTCAGAATTCCCAGTGCTTGTGCTGACAAATTATGAATATGAATAAGTTTCATATATAAATTTTTACTGTTTTATTCAAATCATTTGAGTTTAAGTCTGGAGTGCCTTTTTTTGCAATATGCTGTCCTTAGATGAAGTTTCCAGAAAAATGGTTGCCAGGAAAATGTGCATTAAAAAGCAGAGATGCTGCTCTCCTTCTCTCATTACAGGAGAGCTCAAGAAATGGAAAAAAAAAAAAACCTTCCGCAACGACAATGCAAATAGCGCCAGCATGCAGTTTGGTCCTTTTATCCCGCCTTTACATTCTTTTTAGCCTCTTCATTCTTTTCCATTTTGGATTTTGTAATGTCTACTTGCTTTTAATCCGCAATTCACAACAAGAGTGCATACACCAAAACATGAAATACGCATATAGGCAGTAAGTGTTCCACCCACCTATTTTCTATCACATGACAGGATTTCTGGTCACACACTCAGTCATCCACGAGGAAGATGACTTGTCACCTCAGTACCACACCCAGAAGAGCACACAAAACTCTAGTGAGAGTAAATGTCCAGTCAGGACAGACTATCCTGCTTCTGTAAGGCTGGATATCTCCTTCTGTCCACTTCACATTGGATAACATCACATTAATCAGTACGATTAACCTGTTAACCCCACCTACATCCTTGTTTTGTAACCTATGGTTTTGATTGTATTATCTCAGAATAATCCACAAGGTAAGGATAATGTAAATAGACATTCTTCACTATTGTTTTAAATAATAAACCTAATATTAATAAATACACATTTTTCATTCACCTCAAATAAAACCTTTAGATAACAAAACATCTGAATTATGCTGGGGACACTTAAAAATATACTTGGATTTTTTTTTCTGAAAACTGCATCAAGCATGAAAAAATTGCTTTAATTTGACAACTCTTAAAAAATAAATTATGTATATTATACATAATTATTATTTTTAAAAGTTCTAAAAACTCTCATATTATACTTAAACACTTAATTTATCTGATCACAAAATGTACTGGTAATTTTCTGCCAGGACATTATCTGCTTTTTAAAGGATTTTTTTCTTACAGTGTATCAAGCAATCAAGCAAACATATAAAAATTAGGAAGAGCTAAGAGAGTGGATTTTCTTAAAATTCAGGGCTTGCAATAATCATGGGTAAAAAACATCTACTGTTTTGTGGCATTAATAATACACACTAATAAATAAACTAATATCCAATAGTTAGTTAACTGCAAAAGTTAACTGCAAGTCTAAATAAGTATTTTCAAACACTCACAGTGCGGTCATGGTCATGTGGATCTTCTTCATTTTGTTTGTTTTTGGACACACAGTTGCACAAGGACACATTACCAATGTGCTCACATGGCCACTTCTCCTCTGGATGCACTCTGTTCTCACTCTCCTCGGTGGAAAAACAAAAAAATATCTAAATATCCTCAAAATAACCCACCAGACAGGTGGCTATAGATTTGGACTTTACAGCACAAAATGTAATAATTATGCATTATAGCCAGATGAATGAGCCAAAGGTTATTGTCAGTTACAACTGCTAGTTCACATACAAATCACAGCACATCATTTTAAAATGTACTTGTGAACATTTAAAAAGTGATATTTGAAAATCCACCTTCTTCCTTATTTCATAACTAAAAGAAATGCACAGACTGCCACAGAGAGGACAGTGAAGTGAACTGCAAGTTTGAGGTAAAGTGACAGTATTGTCTTCATTTAGTTTATCTTGCCTCACATTTTGCTTTCCTTTCAAGACAATTTCTATATATAGTAAAAATAAAAAACTTCTGTACAAGCTCGCTTGACAACATTTTTACTGACATAGAAGGCTCAACACATCAGAACCAGATTAGATCCAAGAGAGAAAAAAGATATAGGCCTATAAAAGGCTAAATAAACAAACAAACAAACAAATAAATAGTGGACAATACAGATTTTTTAATAAAAAAATTTATTTATTTTGTATGTATATATTTGTAAAAAATAAATAAAACAAAATTATAAAATTATATCTGATTATAAAGCCTAAACTACGGTGGCCGAGAAATGCTAAACAAATCACAATTCTGAAAACAAAATAACAAATTACAAACGCAAATGCAAGTCTAAAAAACAAGTCAGAATAAATACGGAGTGTACATTTACATTTAATGAAAAGTAATGGTAAAACATCAGCTCAATTAGTTATTGGCTTTTTGACGCGATCGACCCAGGTTCGATCCCACCTTTTGCCGAACTTTTTTTTCTTCTCCCTTTTCAAATCTCGTGTCACATCGTAAAGGCATTTATTTTCAATAAAAATTAAGGAAATAATCAAAAGGTTGAAAATAAAGTATCAGGTAGGGTTAGGGTTGATGTAGGGAGGGCTTTATTGTACCAATAAGGTGGCATCCATTTAATAATTAAAATTAAAATGATAATTTACACTCAATACGTTATTATTGCATACTGTTTTATAATGTACTACAATACTGAAGTGCAGATAATTGCCACTATTTGCAACAAGTAGTATACTTGATAGTAGAAATCCTGCTATTTTAACATAGTTTAAATAGGTATTTGCACTTAGTGTAAATAGCATATTGCTAACAATACTGCTATTTTCACTTAGTGTAAATAGAAGCCATTGCTAATACGAGATTTGAAAAGGGAGGAAAAAAAAGTTCGACAAAAGATGGGATCGAACCCGGGTCAATCGTGTCAAAAAGCCAATGACAAGCACTTATCCAACTGCACCAATGGAACTGATGCTCGACAGCCACTTTTAACTAAATGTAAATAGACATCCCGTATCTTTAATTCCATAGTAAGAGCAATTCATACATTTAAACTGAGCTACTTTAATACCATCTCCGAACTTTCTACCACGACTCTGCTGTTCTTCGGCTGGTTCTTCCCTGTATACGTTGATTGACAGATGTCTCGTCCAGTCAGCGGTGAGTAATCCAAAACCAATGGCGCTGTCTCAAACTATACCTACCTCTTCCGGTTTGTCCGCATAAAAATATAATCAGTTTGTGCTAAAACCGCATCACCCTGCACCATCTAGAGTTTCATGACAGAACTTGGCATTTTTTTCACAGTAGCATCAGCATGTTTGCTTGTCTGTGTGTTTGGTTGTTGCTCTTTTGTTAGTTTTGACTGCTTTTATTGTCCTCATTTGTAAGTCGCTCTGGATAAAAGTGTCTGCTAAAGGACTAAATGTAAATGTAAATGTGATTTGTTTTGCACTTCTCGGCCACCGTACTAAACAGAGAAGGGGATTTAAGATTCTAAATTTATGTAGGCCTATATAATATTTTTTTGCAAACGTTTGAAAAAACAAACAAAAAAATGGTCATTATTTGTAACGCCTTGCGACGTCATCAAATACAGATGGCACTTGAGTCGCTTAGATTAGCATATACAGGCCTGTTGGTGTAAATAAATAAACGTTACA